ATAGGCATTGGATCGATGAGTTGTTGGATGATATTCATCATGTAACAGTCATAACCTAGGGTGATGCAGTACTAGCTCCAGTTCATAACTATAATGTCGGCATGTATTCCGTAAATAGTCATACGTGCTTATGGAAATAACTTGCATACCATCTTTTAACCTACCCTCCCGTGGCAGTGGGGTCCTAATGGAAACTAAGGGATATTAAGGACTCCATTTAATAGAGAACCAGAACAAAGCATTAACACACGGTGAATACATGAACTCCTCAAACTATGGTCATCATCGGAAAGTGTCCCGACTATTGTCACTCAAGGGTTGCCGGATCATAACACACAGTAGGTGACTATAACTTGCAAGATCGGATCTAGAACATAAATATAATGATGATAACATAAACAGTTCATATCAGAAATCCTGGCACACGGGCCCAAAGTGACAAGCATTAAGCATGGCGAAGTCATAGCAACATCAATCTCAGAACATAATTGATATTAGGGATCAAGCCCTAACAAAACTAACTCGATTACATGATGAATCTCATCCAACTCCTCGCCGACCAGCGAGCCTATGAAGGAATTACTCACTCCCGGTGGGGAGCATCATGGAATTGGAGATGGAGAAGGGCTGGTGATGACAAAGATCGAAGATCCCCCTCTCCAGAGCCCCAAACGGACTCTAGATCTGGCCTCCCGATGAAGAACAGGAGGTGGCGGTGGCTCCCTCTCGTGAAATGCGATAATTCTTTCTCCCTGATTTTTTCTGGAAATATGTGATTTTATAGTGTTGGTTTCAGGGTCTGCGGGGCCACCAGGTGGGGACAACCCACCTGGGCGCACCTGGAGGGGGGGGGGCGCTCCCTGGTGGGTTGTGCCCACCCAGGTACCCCCCTCCGGTGGTTCTTGGCTCCACAAATTATCTTTATTCATATAAAAATTCCTCACAAAATTTCGTTCCAATCCGAGAACTTTTATTTCTGCACAAAAACAACATCATGGTAGTTCTACTGAAAACAGCATTAGTCCGGGTTAGTTTCATTCAAATCATGCAAATTAGAGTACAAAGCAAGACGAAAAGCATTAGGAAAACCAGATATGACGGAGACGTATCAATCAACATCTAGTTGGATCAGATCTCCCACCATGTCAGCGATCTTAATAGGCCATGTGAGACACAAAAATTAAACGGCTGATTCATCACCCACACCCTGATCTTCAGTCGATCAAATTTGAGTTTAGATGGGCATGATCGGATGTTGAATATTTCCAACACAACATAGTGCTTTCATACCGCCCAGGGACCTCCATCCATATGTGATCTCGATCTCGCTTATTCTCAAAGCTCGCCACGAACACATTCTCTCCCATGGATCATAAGTTCAGTCCTTTCGGATTACACCATACCATGCATAGAGCACGTGAGATTGTTCTCATATGTGAAACCTTGTGACACAAAACTTTAACAAATAGAGCCCAAAGATTCTCATGTTCCACGTTGATATCCTCATCAATCATAAGCTTTGCCTTCTCCTTCTCTGCCAGATTAAACTTTTCCATCATTTGCTCCACCGTCTCCTTCTCTTTCCCAGTGTTATGACTTGACACACTCCAATTTGCCATGGTCGCCCCCTCCCATCCTTCGAAAGCACTCGCCTGCCGGCATCCACCAAGGGTGGGTAGAGACAAGGTCTCCCCTTGGTCAACCCCAACAAAACAACCAGTAGAACAGAACCCTAGGAAGGATCAATTGAGGTAGCCACCGTCAACCATCGACTTTGCGTCACAGGAGACCCAACATTGCCTGTGTGCCACCTCTCCACTCCGAAACCCTAGTTTATTTTTTGGGGGCTCTTTGGTTACCAATAGTTGTACATACGTGCTTCACGTCATCCTGTGTTGTTTTTTTACACCATCATGTGGTTTGTGCCATCTCAAAGGGGCGCTCTGTGCCAAAGCAACCCGCCTACTTACCGCATGTATGATCGATGATGATATGGAAAACATAACATCAGAAAATTAAGGAATAGTAGAAGATTCATGGTGTTTGTACACTCGAGCTCAAATGCACCATCATGAACACTAAAATCTAATATAATATAAAAAAAAATCTGATTATTTAGAAACAAAAATTGTTGAATTTTCTATACGTGAAATTTTACTTGGAGAAAAAACATTTCCAATGCTCTAGGTGAAAAAAGATCATATTTGATGCTCCAAAAAGACTATTTTTGGAAGTCTTTTGGAGTGGTGATTTGCTGGCACACAGGAAGAAAAATAAGCAATGTTCATTGTAAGAAAAAAAATCAGAACTTTTTGATATTTTATTTCAAAATTTTACTGACATTTGCATCTACTTCAGAATAGAAGAACACTTTCGGGTTGGAGGCAGAATAAAGCATAGAGGGAGGAGATATACATGGAGGGTCCCTATTTTTTTGGCAGAGTGGATATCACATAGGAAGGAGTAGAAGATTGAACTGAAGAAAATTAAAGCATGAAGGGGAAAAAATACATCAGCAATGCACAGCTCACGGAAATTAATGCGGACTTGTGGAGATCGATGATGTATTTTTGTTTCAAGAAAAGGCCAGTGTAGAAACGAGTAGCATGCATTGCATGAGCACCAGAGGATGTCAAAAAGGGAAATTGCATGCACCACTTGCAAGGATGGATCCCGTGCAAGATTATTTTGTGAATAGTGGAGTGGAGGAAGAATGACGAGACAAAAAATGGTGGAGGAAATCTTTACCCTTTCTTTCTTTCTTTGTTTGGAGTGGAGGAAGAATGACGAGATAGCGAGGCATTTAGAACTAGCAGAAAATAAATGCAATACGACAATGAAAGCTTTACCCTTTTTCTTTCTTTCTTTGGAGTGAAGGAAGAATGGCGAGATAGAGAGGCATTTACTGGCAGAAAATAAATGCAATATCATAAGAAAATCTTTACTCTCTCAGTGAAGGAAAAATGATGAGATAGAGAGGCATTTTTCTGGCAGAAAATAAATGCAATACGATAAGGAGAACAGATGGATTGGAGAAAGAAACTGAAAAGCTGTATCCAGGCTTTTTTTAGATTTTTATTACAATTGTCACCGTGGCTATGACAGTTGTCCTCTAGTAAAAGGGTAGGAAGTAAAATAAGGGAATAATTAATACGGGCATTTATTACTATAAATTTTGTGATAAATTGTACAAAATATTAGCTCCAAAAATCTTTGATATGATCACCCTAGGTACTCTTTATTTTCCACTAGAAAAAAAAGAATGTTGCCGTCCATATGTTTTACACTATAGCCCTTCATATATAAATTTATTCACTCCTTCCATTACCTTATACAAGCATTTAGCCCTCTTTTGATATTCCTCAATATACAACACCTCTCACCCATATACTAGTGCAATTCCACCCCCACACTACGCCACCTTCACATATTGCCGCTAGCGATGTTCTCACGACCTCCCATATATCAGCATCTCCCAACCCCTGGCATAGTGGCAGAGCTAGCATTCAAGCAAGACACATGCCAAAAACTAAGCTTTTATATCTACTGTAGAGCATATCCCATGCCAACACCTAAAAATAAGGCTTGAATGAAGAGATATTATATAATATAAAATGCATCAACTAATGGTTTGAGGGCATACGAAAGGGAAATTAATGGCACTGCGGTCTTACGAAAATAGTAAATCACCTTACACATGTTGATCGTCGGTGATGTGCTATCCATTGATGTAAGAAGCAAGCTTGTGGGGCCAACTAGTGGGAACGCCTCACCTCTTCAATGAGTAGCGAGCCCGTCTATCATCAGCAAGGGCGTCACGCGGCAAATGCACATAACATGTAGGTCGCGTGTGTCAACTGGCCTGGTTCTATGGCACAACGAGCATGCCAAGATGGGTCTTTCAAGCATGTGGTCCATTAAATCGGTTTCTCAATTCATGCATCGCCCCGACTGCTTGCTCATCTATGGGCTAGAATTAGCTGCCTGACATTGGACTCGGTAAAAGAGTGAGTGCTCACATAGATTGAGGGATTGGTACCTTAATAGTGGTATGGCTAGTATTCCACACCACATACCAACTCAAGTGTCTCTG